TATAGAAGGAAGAAATCAGGGCATGAATCACGTAACTTAGAAACGATAGTCGTTCAAACGATACTGACAAAAAGATGTTGTCAAAACCTGATTTATACATTTGTGTCGCTGTTACGTGTTACTGTTACTGTTACGTGAAGCAAAACTGGAATCGAGTTGACGATATCGCACAAACGATCAAACAATTTTTGATTTTTATGAAGTAAGACAATCTCGACACGATATCGTTCAGACAGATTTCAGGCAGATTTCAGCGCTACGGTCTACAACTACAGAAAAATTCTGCGGTGTTGAGTTTTCATTTACATGGCGCTCTGGTAAGACAGATCGTGTCAGCTGACTCGGGTTTACGTACCGGTAGGTTTACGTTCTTGACTAATTTCAGCTTAACTGAGGTTTTACACTTTGCTACCACCTTGTATGAATACTCTTTGCAATTATACAAAAACAGAATGTACATACATACATACGTTGTTTATTGTTCTTGCTTTTACGACCAAGCTGTTACGGTTTACATGTGCATATGAATTTTGTTTGTGCATTCAAGGGTGTGCTATCAAATCAGTAAAAAACAAGCAGAATCGTAAAGCGAATACATACATATAAGGTGATGTTACGGCTGAGATTTTCGCCTCGCTGATTCTTTATTTCAAAATGTAACTGTATGTTTTTGTACTGTCTTATATGAATTCGCCTTGCAGCAGCACATGTTTTTATACTCCTGTATGAATTCGCCGTGGGTTTTAGCAAATGCCAAGGTGTATTTAACAAAGTACAAATGACAGTATGGATATCTGCGCATAATTTCGAGCCCTAACCGCCAAAATAACGTAAGCGACATTTTTTTCAAAATTTTATTTTTGATGCAGAAATGCATCTAGAAGCTCTAGGAATATTTCTGCATCAAAAGGAAAATTTTGGAAAAAGTGTCGCTTACGTTATTTTGGCGGTTAGGGCTCGATTTGTTAGTGTATTTACTTATATACAGCTAACACCACTTTGTTTAATACGCCTTGGCTAATACCAAGGTGATTTTATACAAGGTGGTAGAAATAATACAACTGTTATTAGAAATATCGGACTTTAACAATTATTATTTTTTACTTTTGTTTTTTGTTATTTTTTGGCCTTTTAACAATTATATTCAACAATTTTATAATGAGCTCGAGGCCATTTTTTAAATGAAAATTTATTGTGGAAAAGCAACAATAATTTGAAAAAATGGTAGAAGTGATAGCTATTTCGGANTAAATACCAGTTAGCTCTGATTTTTATTTTATAAATACAAAATAACAATTATTTTTGATTTTTATCTAAATAATCTGCAAATAACAGTTATTGAAGAATTTTATTTTATTTATTAAAGTCATCAATAAAAATCAGTCAGTGACTTCTACCTTTAAAAGTCATCAATATAAATTTTTATTTTTAAGTCATACCTACTTATAAAAGTCATTTGTATAAGTCGTAGTAAACTATTGTTCTCGCAACACCTTCTTAACTGCGAAAAATGATAATGACTTTTATATGTATGACTTTTAAAAGTAAAAGTCACTGACTGATTTTTTATTGAGGACTTTTATAAATAAAGACCACGCTCAGAGAAAACATTCCTTGATGCTAGGAAAAAAGTATATTATTTTAAGGAAATATTACTTTGAAATACCTCCAATGACATGGCTGCCTTAGTATGAGTAAAGGATTTGACTCAGTTTAAGGAAAACACAATTCTTTAGTTTTTAGGAAAAATTTACTTGCCATTTCATCCCCGTGAAAGGAATAAGTATGTCATTTTGCTCGCGGCGCTGAAACAGTGGCAATGGCCGACAGAGCAAAGCTCTGGAGTGCTAGTCGAGAGATGCAAGGTTCGAGTCCCAGAGCAGACATTTTTTTAAATATTTTTTTTTTTTTACTTTTTAATTGTAATTATTTAAATAGTATTTAAAAACAAATTTATTTAATTTTGTTTTATGTTATTTGAGTATTTAGGTTTTTCTATATATGAAATTAATCTTACAATTTGTAATCTATTTGTTTTTGTTATTTTTTTGGCCTTATAACAATTATATTCAACAATTTATATTGAGCTCGAGGCCGTTTTTTAAATGGAAATTTATTGTGGAAAAGCAACAATAATTTGAAAAAATGGTAGAAGCATTAGCGCACACAAGGGGTGGGTTTTGGCGTTCAAACCCCCCCTAAAGCTAATAACCTCAAATACAAAAGCTAAGAATCCAGCTCTCAAGGAAATTATAAGAAATATTTATTATAATTTCTGTTGCTTGAAAAAGCGCTTTGCTTTTGCTGTAAATTTTCATGAGGAAATAAATATACGAACATTTTTTTCTTGAGAGCTGCAAACTGATTTATGAAAATTTGGTAGAAGAAAATTTCTTTTCCATTTCTCGTCCGCCGTTTTATACGAATTTTTCGTTTTTCTTGAGAGTTCAGTTAATTTTTTCGGAACTCGAAATATTAAAAAAATTTAGCAATCGTGAAAAATCACATCCTATCGAAAACCAGAAACCAGAAATCGAAAAAATGAACATAAAAGTGCAAAAATTCATGGAATCAATAAATTTATTTTTACTGACTCTTTTTTAAAATTTTTTATTAGGTACTTTTGAAAGTTGAGCGCATCTTGAGTTTATAGAACTTTTTATTAAACAAGTAGTTTTTAAGGAAAGAACACAACCGACTTCAATTCTCATATACAAATTTAGGGGTACCGTTAATTTCTTCATGATCCAATCATCGGATCTCTAAACCAAATTACGGGACGACCCTTGAGGTACCATCTTTCCAATAAAAAAAGGATTATTGAAATCGGTTCACGTGGTAAAAAAGTTATGTATTCCGGCGAATTGATAACCTCCCCTTTTTTGAAGTCGGTTAAAAGTGTTTGAGTTCTGTTAATCTTATGTAAATAAAGTGCAGTTTATGAATTTTAAAACGTTTATTTATTTATTACATACTGTACATAAAACTTGCATAAATGTATTTTAAAGAGCGTATTATCAAGCAAATTTTCAGTATTTTCCGGTGATATATCTTCAGAAATATAAAACCCCCCTAAAATATATTCCTGGGTGCGCCCCTGGGTAGAAGTGATAGCTATTTCGGAAATCACCATATTTCCTCATCAGACTTCTTTCAGTAGGCTTCGAACCGACGATCCCACTGACTCAGCGAGTTGCCTATGCACCGTGCTAAGTACGCCTTGTAGATTATCGTTTGCTTATTTCCACTATTTTCATTTTTGTTATGCCAACACAATCAAGCGCAGCTATTCCGCTGCAATTCTCTTGATCATGTGGTTGTTGGTTTTGTTGGTTTTTGCTAATAATTCTATTTTTAGAATGTTTAACTTTTAGGTGTGCTCGTCCGAAAGGCAAAAAAAATAACAAGAACAAATAACTTAAGGACGTTTGGTCAATACTCAACTTTTGACGCACGTAAGTCCGTCACTGCTGACAGTTGTATAACCTCGCGTTTACACAAGTCAAGACAAACGAGAATAAGCATTAATTGTCATATTGTTTGAGTAAAGTAGCCATCCAGATAATAAATTGTCTTCCAAAAGCCAGAGAATGTGACGAAGACATCAAGAGAAGTGTGAGTAGATTAGTGAACAAAGTGTGAATGTTTTGCTGTTGTACCTGAAAAATTGACTTGTGTAAACCCCAAGTACGCGGTCATAAGGAACAGCTGATTTTTGTTTGCAGACGCAACACCTTCATTGTGGCGTATATCTACGGCACGTACGCCACTTCCTTCGCATACTTCTCCGTTATTAGCGTACAAGTGCCCATTCTGACGGGCCTATTACTTGTTCAAAAGACAACAGCTGGCCGTTTTTACCAGTGTTGTCAACGCAAACTGTCCGGATCCGGAAATAAAAGCAAATAAAGGCTGTTTATGCAAATAATCGAGCCCGTTTGTCAACCGTATAAAAGCCAAGAAACAAAATGTCAATTTGACTTCGAGACTTCCCTGGAATTCTATGAGTCGACATACATACATAACTACAGACTTAAAGGCAAATAAGATAGAAATGCGTATTGTTTTTGCTGTTGTTGTCACGTTTTTCGTTTCATCGAGTTTCAAATCACTCCCGCCACTAAAGAAGTTTTCACTTCAAAAAGTGGAGGGTTCAGGATAGAGATGGGCGCGGGATATCGGGATCCACGAGACCCACGGTACTGATTTCAAATTGGACGGGATGTGCGGTATCGGGAAGGTCTGTTAAATTTTGTGGGCGGGACGGGACCAAAATCCTTTCCTGACACTACCGAAAAAATCGCAACTTCTGTAAATTCGGAAAATCTTCCTTAAAAACGATGTGTGAAATATGCACGTTTTTATGTTTTATTGGGACGAAAACGAACAGCAAAGCAAAACAAAATAATCGGAAGATGCCAGATCTATATTTTTTTTGTTATTTAAAATTAATTTGAAAGACATGCGAATTTTTCTTAGTGATAGATTTTGGACCCATGGGATCCGCGGAACAATTCTGAAAAACGTCGGGATGGGTGGGTTCGGGGCTTAAAAATTGAATTTCGGGATGAGCGGGATCGGGACTAAATATTTAGTCCGTGCCCATCTCTAGTTCAGGAACTATACGGAGCCTATCTTCATGTTGTACTCGACCATAGCTAGAACCTACACTAGGTTTTATTTCGGGTGTATTTCATGACCTTGTTTTTGTAGCACCATGTTATTAATAAAAGAGACTGATGTAAAGCGTAAATAACATTGTGGCCACAGTATTAAAACGAAGAAAATTATAATTGTCTGACTAAAACGTGATAACCGTTAACAATTGGCGAAAAAACTAGATACATATTTTCTCAGTAACTTTGATAATATCGGGTGACCATAAACAAAATCTGTAGATAAGTCATCTTGCGTTGCCCCTCTTTTATGATTACCTGGCTGCGTCCCAGCACATAGACATATTTACGATAATAAATCTTTCCAGAAAAAGTCAATTGCTCCTGATCTAATCTATGTTCTTTGTTTTCGTATTTATTAATGTTTAGTACACCTCCGTACTTACACATAAAAATATGAATATAATTTTTAATTTCTTTTGTTATGACATTTACATGCATTTACAAAATAAGCACTTTTGAAAATACCGCAAAATTTAGTTTTCATTAAAATTCAGAAAAAAAATATTCTAATTGAACAAAAATGTTCTATCAAACTAACTGCTCAGTGTTAAGGATGCAATCGATATTACTACGGCAACTGTAGTCCACTTGCGTTGTATATTTGTTGCTTTATCTGAAAGTAAAAGAATATGGAATATAATATGTATGAAATAGATTGAGCATGTTTTTATTATTCCAAAAATTATCTGCGCAAGCACATCTACTTATATTTAAAAATTAAAACAAGTAATTATTAAGCAGAAAACAAAACCGACTTCAATTTCCATACAATAATTTAAGATTATCGTTAATTTCTTCAAGATCCAATGTTTGGATCTAAACCAAATTAGTATAAGACCAACGTTGAGGAACCATCTTTCCTTAAAAAAAAAGCATTATAGAAATCGGTTATGCGGTAACATACATAAAAAAAATATTCCGACGAATTGATAACCTTCTCATTTTTTGAAGTCAGTTAAAAAAGGTATTCATCTGATGTCGAAACTCTCGACTTTACACACGGTGTTACGTAAAGACGCTATATTAAATAAAAGGCCAGTATGTCAAACAAATCAAACATTTATTATAAGCGTACTGATATTAGAGCTTAAAAAAATGTTATAATAATTCAGAAAAAATATTTTTTTTTTTAAATTCAAACATAATAAATATTCAAGGTGCATTAAAAATATGTTCTCAAGGAGTTTTTTCCATTTCGTTTATATTTTCGAAAACTGCTTTTGTTGAAGAAAACATTTGAAAAAAAACATTGTTAGATCTTTTCTGTTTTTGACTTATCGTGAACCTTGCACGCTCAGCGCCTGTGCGCGCAACGTGTTCACTAGAAAGCGCGTACAGGACCAACTAACAATTATCTCATATTTCCGACTTTTAACGTAACCTCATATAATAATGATGGCATTTATGGTATTTTTAAGGCATTTTTAGGTTAAGTTTAGTATTGGAGCTATGTGTTGATATAATCCCATTAATTCCATTTTTTTGGAGTTCACACATAACATTATTACCAGGGAACGGATTTTTAGGACCTAAAAACCTACAAAAAAAGGGAAAATAGGCAGGAAAAGGCACTAGAAGGAAAAATATGGTACTAAATAAAAACAAAAACCGAAAACTAATCAAAAAATACATTTATTTTAGAAATGTTTATTTTACAAGTAAAAACAGAAAATCTATGAACTATAAGTTTCATTATATCAAAAATTTGTACTTTGAATCTTTGACTATTTTCTCCATTTGAGTTCTTGACTCGCAAAACTTTAATCGCTATAGTTGTAGTAACATTGAAACACAAGATGCATTTTGAAGTTTTCTGGCACAATTTTTATTCGACTGATGAAAAGCCTTAAATGTACTAAACGTGCGCTCGACGTGAGTTGATACAAGTGGCACCCAATTTAAATATGGAACGTTTAAAACTTTCATATTATCCGGAATAAGGGCTTTTTTCTTGCCCTTTACAATTAAAGTTAGTATAGGCGAATATCTTAAAAAAGGCAAAAAGAGGCAACTTCAGAGTATATATGGAATCATGGAAAGCTAAATCGTGGTCATTCTTAATCAAATATACTCTATCTTTTTAGCAGAAAAAAGGCAATTTCCATAAAATCCGTTCCCTGATTATTACAAACATATGGGCTGAATTTCGGAGTTATATATGCACCGGTGCACTTTTTATTGCATTTTTAAGACGTTTTTGAGGTTAGGTTTACTTATATGGGAGGTATGCTTTAAAATAAATAGATCTCGCCAATTTTTCGTTCTTTTTTTCTTTTATTTGTCTCCATAAATGTTGCGAACAGAACATTGAGGTTATACGCCGACTCCTTCTATTTGTCCAAAAAAATGTATGGGGCTGTACCACTGTGCGACGTTGAACACTTGAACAATCACAATAAAAAAATTATTAGACATAAAATTTACATACTTATGGTTGACTGATGGCGCTAGAATCATACAGTTGGGTGTGAACTCCAAAAAAATGGACTTGATCAGATTATTTTAACACATAGTAAGCTTAACCTAAAAATGCCTTAAAAATACCACAAATGCCATCATTATTATACATATAAGGTTATGTTAAAAGTCGCAAATATGAGCCAATTGTAAGTTGCTCCTGTACGCGCTTTCTAGTGAACACGTTGCGCGCATAGGCGGTGAGCGTGCATGGTTCACGATGCGTGCGCGCTGTGACAATGTTGCTGTAAGTCAAAAACAGAAAAGATCTAAAAATTTTTTTTTACAAATATTTTCTTCAATAAATGCAGTTTTCGAAAATATAAACGAAATGGGAAAAACTCATTGAGAACATATTTTTAATGCAACTTGAATATTTATAATGTTTGAATGAAGTAATTTTTTTTTTCTAAATTATAAAAATATATCTTTTTAAAGCTCTAATGTCCCCACGCTTACAAAAAAGAATTTATCAACTTTCGTCAAACATGATTCAATAATAAAAGGTTTGCTCAAAAAACAGTTTTCTCGCTCCCTCTTGACAAAATCGGCTCCCTTAGCAAGGCACTGTGTGTGGGTTCGTGTGTGTGTGCAAAGCGTTTGTAAGGGAGCTAAGGGAGTGTCAAATCTAATGTCACTAATGAGCAAACCTTTAATTATTGAATCATGTTCGTCAAATACTTTAAGAGAAAATGAATTTTGAAAAAAAGGATGCTTAAAAATATATTAAATTAAATTAAAAAAAAAATATTCAGAATTCCTTTCACATCTATAAACCTCTCTACCCACAAATTTTCACGCAAAAATTCGAACTAGACTGAAGTCCGAGGTCCAGTTGAGAAATGTTCACCCATACATAGATTACGACTGAATATGGCCATCAGTGTTGCCATTAAGATTTTCCGAATAGATTTAGCTATTTTCCGAATAGATTTAGCGTTTTTATTTGGGTTTATTTTGTTTAGTGTAAGGTATGGAATGAAAAATAAAGACAAATGCTATCATGATATTTTACTTCGGCGAGTTCTCATTTAAAAAAATAAGAACTCATAATATGTATAAAAATATTCGAATTCATCTGCAACTAAACACACCCATGATGATGAATACAAATAAATAAATAATAAAACGTATTGAGAAGTTTTGAAAATTTTTTCTTCCTTACTTAATACAATTTTTTAAAAAAATATTGTTAATTCTATAACAAAAGCCATGTAAATTAAATTTTCAAACTTTCTGGAGAATTAATAAAATTGGAAAAATTAAAACAGAATGTTCATCAAAATATGAACTTTTTTCCCGAATTAAAAAAAAAAAATTGGAGAGCGCAGTTTTGTCAGAATTTGTTTGCATATTTTAAGCTAAAAATTTAAAACATATTTAGTTGGTGTGCTTATTAAATACAACATTCTCATAAAAATGTTGGCTGAAAGGTAAATACCGAATTTTCGCTAAACGAATTTTCGAGTACGAATGAAATTTAATAGGTGTTCGAACATCAAAAATCAAAGTAAAGCTACATATATCATATCCAAGCTACCGACTGCAACTTTTCCAATTTTTAGAACTTAAGGGCTAACTATAATATGAATAAGCAAGCGTATGCAAACGTGCGAATACACATAAATCGTATTCTGAAACTATAAGGAGCGTTCCTTATCTCCCAGAAAGAGTCAGAAAAAGTCCGTAGTAGTCAGATTTAGTCCAAAAAGCGTTCCTTAACTCGAAAATGACAGAAAAAATGAGAGAGCAACACTCAGTGAGAGTGACTCTCTTCAGTCAGATTTAGTCAGAATAATTTTTTCTGGCAAAATCCTGAAAAGTGTCAAATTCAACTGAATTTCAATTAACGGAAATTAAAGAATACGCAAATAGTGAGAATAATCTAAAAAGTAAAAAAAGTGAATTGAAATTGGAAGGAGGCAAAAAATAATTGATATAGTGTTTATTGTGCTTGTGCTTGTGTGAATGTGTCTTGCACATACATTTCCATTCTTATTTGACATTAGTTTTGTTGTTGCCATTCTTTGGACTAAAAATTTGGTTTTTTGCGTTCCTTTACTTTTCCTGTTATTCTCTTTTAGTGAGCGCATTTTGCTTACGCTCTGGCATTTTGACACTTTTCAGATTTTAGTCCAAAAAGATAAGGAATGAACCTGCTATGTGCTTAACATCAAGTTTCGTTAAGTTTCGCCAAACGTCATTTGCTTAAAGAAAGAGCGATACTGATCGCACCTTCCGTACGGAATCAGCAGTTTGTCCTCGTACGTATGTATGTACATATGTAACACATGCAGTGTTGACGCGTTGATATTTTTTTACAGAAATTGGTATTTTTTTCTTTATTTATCATATTTGGTAATTTGGTAACTTATTTTTCAACTTGGTAACTTTTTCGATTCAGTCCTACATGTAACACAGGTCAAAAGAAGTTCTGGTTCCACATCCACAGGAAGTGGGCCGTAAGAGTTTCCTTCTACAGAAACACCAGGTTATCCTGAAAGTTTCGTAAGGCGAACAGTAGTTCGGCGTTTCTAGGTTACTATAATTGTGTGATCTAGAACAAACTGCTTGATAGTGGCTATTGTTATATCTAACGCATTTAGGCAACACTGAACTCATGTAAGTAAAATATAGCCACCTAAAAGTCTACACTACGTTGCTTATGCATTTGACAGACTTTTCGTTCATTTTCATAGTTAGCCCTTTACACTGCACAAGAAGCACAAAAGCAGTAGCAGCCGCCGTTAGTTTGAAACACGAAGTCTATTCCAGGGGCTTCACGATTTGCAGGATTTTACAAGAAGTCGTTCCCGGTCGCCACCTTTTATAAGGTTTATTAATGGCGAAAGCAGCTTTTCCTGTAAATCCACATAATATCCATAAATCCACATAAATTTAAAATTGCCCCTAGCCCTTTTTTTAGCCCTTTGGAGAATTGATTCATACTTGGCATGAAAAAGTTGTATATGCTTAATTTGTTTTTAATTTGATGAATGATTTTTTGAAATTGACAAATTGAAATTTTTTGAAGATGAATTTTTAAACCATGAAATACTGATATATATATGTAGATGTGGAAGATTAAGTTCACGATATTGCAGTTGTGAATTAAAAAAAAAAAAAAGCTGAGCTTTTTTTCCAGAGTTCATTTGT